TATCATGTTTGATTATTAGTTTTATCATTACTGATTATTAGTTTTATAATTTCCGATTATTAGTTTTATCATGTCTGATTATTAGTTTTATCATTTGTAATTATTAGTTTTATCATTTATAATTATTAGTTTTATTATGTCCGATTATTAGTTTTATCATTAGTGATTATTAGTTTTATCATTTGTGATTAATCTTAAAGTAGTCAGGGTTCTAGTTCTAGTTATTATTATATGTGATACTTTTGTTTTAGGTATTACAGTAATTCATGCTGAAATTAAAACTATGGTCCAAATGTTTTTATTATTATTAGCTGTAATTTTATTGTTGTTTTAAGTAAAGATTTTTATGCAACACATACAAATATATTTATAAACAAAAGTATTTATAAACATCCATAAACATGTTAAAGCATCAAATATGAACATTTTAGTTTTTATAGTAAATCTTTGGTTAATAAACGTGTGATTCTAATAATTATTATTATTAATAAGGTGAATAATTTTATTTGTGTTGTTGTGATTTTAAACCTTGATAAACATGATTCTTTGTTTGTTTGTTTAAGGAACAGTGTAAACAATCAGAGTGGATTAATTAAAGTAAATGTTTAAGGTCTGATCTGTTTATCTCAAACAGAATCATAAGATATTATTATTATTAGTTTTATTATTAACAATAATAATAATAATAAAAAAAGAGATGACATTTGATGAAATGTTTTTGCTCTGAAGTGTATATAAAAATATAAATTTATATAAAATATAATATTTATATACATAATATGAATAGGTTTATGCAGAAACCTGGATCTGCCGGGTCCTGGTCCCGTCACGTGTTTGGACCTTAACGGTTCTGGTCTCTGTGGAACCGGATCAGTTCGGTGCTGGTTGGTGTGTGTCAAACAAGATCTGGATGTTCAGACAGAAAGAAGAAGACGAGTCATAAATAATTAATGCTGTCACACACACACACACACACACACACACACACACACACACAGCCTTGTTTATATCACCTAGTTGGGACTCAAGACAAGGCCATGCTTTCTGGGAACCTCCCTTTCTGAAGGTAATACAGCTCTGCAAAAAATCATGTAGCATGCTAGAGGGGCAGGGAACAAAGAGGGCACTTTGAATTTACAATAAGACAAAGTAGAGTTCCCAACTTGACAAGAACCTGCTTATTGGGGACTTCTCAGGTTTTTAGTACTGAGTGGGGTAATACATACACACTTGTCCGGTTTTCAGTACTGAGTGGGGTAATACATACACACTTGTCAGGTTTTCAGTACTGAGTGGAGTAATACATACACACTTGTCAGGTTTTCAATACTGAGTGTGGTAATACATACACACTTTTCAGGTTTTCAGTACTGAGTGGACTAATGCATACACATTTGTCAGGTTTTTCGTACTGAGTGGACTAATGCATACACATTTGTCAGGTTTTTCATACTAAGTGTGGCAATACATACACACTTGTCAGGTTTTCAGTACTGAGTGGAGTAATACATACACACTTGTCAGGTTTTCAGTACTGAGTGGGGTAATACATACACACTTGTCAGGTTTTCAGTACTGAGTGGGATAATACATATACACATGTCAGGTTTTTCATACTGAGTGGAATAATACATACACACTTGTCAGGTTTTTCATACCGAGTGTGGTAATACATACACACTTGTCAGGTTTTCATTACTGAGTGAAGTAATACATGCACACCCCTCAGGTTTTCATTACTGAGTGGAGTAATACATACACACTTGTCAGGTTTTCATTACTGAGTGGAGTAATACATACACATTTGTCAGGTTTTCAGTACTGAGTGGAGTAATACATACACACTTGTCAGGTTTTCAGTACTGAGTGGAGTAATACATACACACTTGTCAGGTTTTCATACTGAGTGTGGTAATACATACACACTTGTCAGGTTTTCAGTACTGAGTGGAGTAATACATACACACTAGGGGTGTAACGGTACACGTGGGTGTATTGAACCGTTTCGATACGGCATGTTCGGTTTGGTTCACCAGCGTACTGTTTCGGTTATTTTTACACTCATTACATTTTATTAACAAGAGATTATGCACCGCAGAACTAAAGTTCCAAAGCGTGTTTCAGCACAGCGCTATTATCTTGCAGCACGCGCAGCATTAGCAGCCTAGCATCTCATTGCAGTCTCCTGTTTGGGAACATTATGTCTTTCTTGTTAAAAGACAAGTGAACAAATCCAAAGTTGTGAGTCGACGTCGTTTCATCAAGATTGGATCTGCAGCAGCAACAAGTCTAACTTGTCAACGCTCTTGAAACGATGTCATCCGAACATGAACGTCTCTTCTACAGAATAGCAGCTTGTTGCAAAGAACGATAATAGCAGCATTTAAACAACTTTTATCAGGTAATTCAGATTGGTCCAAAGCAATAACACAAGCTATAGAAGTTTTTAAAGCTCTGGAACTACGTTTCTGTTGTTGATGCACAGACGTTTAAGTTGTTGAGCCTCGCTATGACATCCATCACGTCAACACTTCAGCCAAAAAGTTGTAGCAGCACTTTATGAAAAAGCTAAAACTGATATTGTCAACAAGTCCTTGACCAGATTAAAGTCCTGTCACATGATGATGATGACCGAGAGATTCAACCACTTCATAACAGAAATGATGACCGTTCAAGAAGAGGTATTGTTATTTTATTATTATTATCTAAATAATTTTTCTTTTTTTTTTAATTATAATTTTATTAACTTTTTTTTTTTTACCCATTTATGTTTTACTTCCAGTCTGGGACAGAGATAGCAGCAGAGTTTTCTTCCTTTTAGGACAATCCACCAGAGCTTACCTCCAGCTAAGAAGTCTGTGATGACTGAACTCTGAACTTTTCCAGGAACAGGTGAGAGCAGGTCCAAGAGGTTGTGAGTAATGAGGTCAAATACAGCCACATTACAAAATTAGCAAAGTGCTACTTCTTTATTCTTGCCACCTGTTAGTGAATGATTATCTCCACTGCTGGAGACATTCACTGCAACTAGATCTGTGCTTTTGGCAGAAAATGTGGACAAGTTGGTCTTTTTGGCCAAAAACTTAAAACTTGATTAGTTAGATTGTAAACAGTCTATTGCTGCTTATTGGTCTGGTTCTGACTGTTATATTTATTAAGATTTTTATTACTGTTATTATAGTTTATTTATTGTAAAGAGTGCCTTTTATTTAAAATATCATCCAAATGAGTAGTTTTTATTTATTTTTATACAAATGTATTGTTAACTTGGCATATTTTCAAAATAAACAATTTTGTAAGTTTTCATTTTGGCCTTTTTGTATGGAAAATGAACCGAACCGAGCCCTCCCTGAAACTGAACCGAACTAAAATGTGATTTTAGCGTACCGTTACACCCCTAATACACACTAATTAGTCTCTATTCCATTGTTGGTATCAGTAGCAGTTTCAGGTTCAAAGTGTGTATACAGCCACCATGGTTCACTGCACAATGAACTATATACTTTGGAATAAATAAAAACACATAGAATGGCCTCTCAAGGTATGTTACGTTCACTAGTGTGTTTGAACAGTTTTGTTAAATTGATTCTAATTTATTCTTTTAAAGGGGTTACATAAAGGTTTTAAAATTATGCATACATTTATGCAGCAAAACCACATCCTTGCAAATCAGATCACAATATTGTGTTCCTCTGGTTGTACTATAAATCTCTTGTTTGGAACAACCTGTAGTGATAAGAACTTAGAGAAGATGGTCACAGGCAGCTCAAGAAGCACTGCGTAATTGTTTTGAAGGCAACGGCAGAGATGCACTCTGAGGTCATCAATGTCATGAACAAGTATGGGACAGACTAAATACACATCTGCTTGGATTTTTCAATTCAATTGATTTTTCATGGATCACCAGTAACTTTAATGAACTGATAAACAAAAAAAAGAGCCTTTAGTGGACCTTTTTTTGAGAGAGGAGTAAAGGAGGCCATCTTTGTGAAAATAAATCGTCCATCATTAAACAGTGGTGGAGGCTTTCGTGTAAAACTGTCCCCCTCTTACAATGCTGTTATTGCTAGTATCACTCAGCCCCATGTGAATAGTAAACAG